AAATTTCAGGCTGAAATACGGTCCCGTTTCGTTTTTATCGTAGTTCCGTTACACCAGGATCAAAAAACAATCGTGGTGGCTGCAATAAATTTCCAAATAATGCTGGATACATGTTCTACCATCCTCTCTTGCGAATTATGCTTATAATCGATGGTCTTCTATTAAATCAACAAATGACACGTATTGTCAGCGATCTGTTCTCGTCAAATTAATTGATCGATACTTCCTATGTGTTGTGTTCGATTGACGCGACCTCTCTGAAAAAGTGTTCGAAATTGATCTTCGACAGAGGCTGTCGATTGCAGCACGTGGCGGAGCCACGGTGAATATTATACGGGAATTGCGATAGGAAGCATTATTAAATTTCGTTTGGTCGGAATGACGGGTACGAATATAGATATCTGCTATTCGATCTCGTACAGTCTAACTGAAGCTAGATTTCCCCCACTTCTCTATCAGTTTCATTTTGTTCTATATTGCTACTAGCTGGAATATATTAGAACCAGAAAGCGTGTTTGTTTTGTAATTGGATTGAATGTTAGATCGATCTCAAAAAAAGCGTAACGACATTCATCATAACGTAATAGTCGCGAGGGTGTTGCTACACGTGTACAAGGTAAAAGCCTCGTACAACGTTATTTAACGTGTCGGATATTAATTTATGTGAAAATCGAATATACAAAGGATGATTGACGCGATTGATGAAAGCTGATGTACGAAAAACTTTGAATAGTTGAAAAATGATGGAAAAATTTCATCGTTTTAAACGCCAACAAGGCGTTTTTTTTTTAATGACGCAGCGTATAATAGTATTATAGGTTAGATAATCGAAAAATTAATTTATACAAGTGGTCCCTATTTTTTTCATGCTTGCATAATCAAAGGGTGAAACAATAAAAGACAATTTATTTCGTTCACTACCTAACCCCGTAATCGTCTTTATCCGCTTGAACGTGCAATTATGTATGTTTTTCGAATTATTATCCCATGTGCATATTGCTGTTTTATTGGAAGCCAATGCTGCATGGTACTTTGTAATGCAAAACACTGCGTGACTATCAGATGCACACACGTCAACCAGCGTGCAAAGGGAATTCATGATGTGTAATGAGCTTTTTCAGACAAGAAGGTAAACCAGTATCGTTTTACCCGCGAATCTTATGCATTCCTGTACGAGAGACTTCATTCATTATCCGTGACCTGCTCGTTACACCGACAACGAAAATTGCGCGCTTTTTTCACATGTCGCCAATTGAAAACCGTTATGGCGTCTAGTTTCTGTTTCTCATGGAAATTCCCGCATATTTCTTTGAAAGTTCGTAGGCTATTATCCTTACTTAGTACCTATGTACTGAAAGAGGTGCGGATGGCAGATGAAAAAAAAAGGGGAATTTCCATGAAAGGAAATGATAAAAATTCTTCAACTCTGTTTGACAATACATTTACTTTTTCCACTGCGTATCAAACAAGGTACTTTAGTCCCTTCTCTACAACTTTAAATCAGATTCTATTTCTACTGAAATATAATTTAAATTTCAAGTAAAATTAATGTAACATTAATATTTGATTTAACGTCATATTATTGTCTTCTTTATTCGGCATGCTGTGAAAGCAGCAAATAATTGAAACAGATTCACGTGAAAATGTTAAAATAGAAATTGTCCCGCGATATTTATTGTTCTTCCTTTGAAAACGTCTACAAATTGCCAGCCTACCGCGAAACAAAATAAACGATACATCTTTATTCAATTTTCAGGATAAACGAAATATTCAGTCTCTCGTCCGTTCTCTCCAACCACTATTGAATAAAACAGCTGTTCAATGAGGCGAACTCTATGAGCACGGAATATAGGACCGCAAAAATCTCGCAGCCAGGTATTAACGTATGTTGGAAAAAGTTTCGTAAATCGGAGAGTTAGCGTGGAGTTTTCAGAAATCAGTCTCTCTCTCTCTCTCTCCACTGTGTATACTGTTTACGCTTTATTTTTCCTGCAAAAAGTGATCGAATAATCCGTCGAGAGAAGAAAATTCGCGTTCTCGTTTAATTTCGTGAGAGTACGTAAAATGATCACGTCTGTTAATCGAACCACAATTAGAAATTTTTTCAAACATTTTGAGCACACGCGTTATAAAACAAATTTCGGCAGCTGAAGTAACAAACACTAGATATTTCTGACGAATAACTGAATGTTACTTAGTTTCAATATTTCACGAAAATTCGAAATACAGTTATTCGAAAAGAATAACCAGACAGTAGCAGAACAACCATTAAACTTGTTACCGGCAAAAATATTCAGAATATTAAATAGTACGAATATTGAAAATACTCATTTTTATTATTTTTTGTAAGTGGACATAATTTTGACGAATGTGCATTACAAAGTTGATACACGAAAATGTGTTAAATTAACAATACGCAAATCCTACAGTGCAATAAACGAAGTTTCGTAACAAAAAAAAAAAAACAAATAATCGAATCTTTTTAACAATTAACCAAAGTATATCGTTGGAAAAGCAAGTGTACACACTGTCTGAATATTTTTAGGAGTAACTGAAATTCGATAATAAATATTCCGCCCTTTTTCCACCATTGTTTCTCTTTCTTTCATACCGAGTAATGGAATTACACGCAACCACTTAAAATTTCAATATTCCGAGTAAACAATAGCTGACGCGAAAAATAGCGGAATTAAATAGGAGTAAAGGGAAACAGTGAAAAATTCGTAGGCGGTGCGATGATCGAGGGAAACAACAATGTTCCTACGAAAAATACATATCCATTTCTCTTTTGTTTCAGATTTTTCCATTCGGGAAATGAGACGAGGTGTTGTTTAAAGCACACGAAATATTTCTCCATTTTGTTCTCCTTTGTCGATGATATATCGAGCGAATGGAGTGGCTTCTACGCGGGAAAACCTCCTCTTTGTTCCCATGGCGATGGAAAGGATCCCTAGGGAAGTCACCGAGAACCATGCCTGGCGAACAGAGAGAACTCGAGGATTAAGGATCGAAACGGTGCATCGGTATCAAGAGGATCCTATTCGTTTTTCCACAGCGTGCAGGCATTTCCATTAGAGCACATCCAATTCACGTTACTACGACAGCACCCGAAAGGACCTTTTGTGTCGTTATATAGTTCTGTTACGCTTTCTCCATTCAATATTTGCACACGCGGGAGGATGTATGTATGTTTGATATACCGTTTAAGAGAAAAGAAGAAAGTCCTCTTTGGAGACTATTTTAACCGGTATGCTGGTATATTTTTCGATTAGAGACCGTTCTATTTGGAATATGTTCAGGTACTCCGTTCCTTCGTGTTCATTTTGTTGCATTGAAAGCGTAGCAAGTTTCGAATTGAAAGGAATATTCAGGATAAACGTGTAGAACGTAGATACAATGTCACAGAGAGACAAACAGAGAATGTTAATTTAATTTAATAAGCTAGACAGGATTAGATAGGTTAATGTAGATTTCTCGTTTATATGTAAAGATGGAGGAACTTTTGAAACGACTAGTTAAGCCGTACTGATTAAGAGGTTAATATTTAAATGGCACTCTTACTCGCCAGGACTGCTACGTATATTCTAGTTATCCGGT